ATCCCTCGTAAAATCAATATTTTTGTATGGAAGTTCTTGTATAATGCACTGGCAATTAATCTCAATATCCAACACTCGTGGTATTCGGTTGGTGTCAAGGTGTCACCGTTGCAAACATGGTAATTTCAAAATCAATGAGCATGTATTTATCTTGGGAGAAATTATGCGGGAGCTATGGAATTTCTTTGGTTCCACTCTAGACGTTAGAACGGGTTTCTCTACTACTCAACGACTAATTTCAATCTAGTTATCAAAAGGTAAGCCCGCTTCATAGAGATCTTTCTCTCACATGGTGGTTTTCTATTTCATTTTGTGGGAAATTTGGTTGGCTAGAAACAAAGCGAGTTTTTGAGGAAGTTAGTGTGAATGGTATTATGATAAAGCACGAGGTGCTTAAATGGTTAGAGAAATTATCAATTTTGTTTATTCCTAAACGTAGTCTAGCTTTTCATGATGAGATATGCCTTAGAACTTTAGGTTTATGGATCTTAGACACGGTTAATGTATCGAGCTACTGATTGAGTGGCAATTTCCTCTATGAGAAAACACGAAGCTAAACATTGATGGTGCGGCAATTAGCAATATATGTATTGGTGGTGGTATACTTCGGGATGATAAAGGAAACTTAGTGATGGCTTTCTCCAAATTTTATGGTTCGGGTACAAATTCAAAGGGTGAGGCACTAGTAGCTTTAGAAGGGATCAAGACATGCATGAGGTATAACTTATTATTTGACATCATAAAGGGCGACTCCTCATTGACCTTATGAGGTTTAACTCACTCATTTACATGCCGTGGAATCTTACTTATATCTTTAAAGCTTGTTGGGAGCAAATAAATGATGGAATCACCATTCAACATATTCACAAGAAATTTAAGATGATAGTAGACGGACTAACGAGTCGAGGCCTTTTAACACAAATCATGCAAAGTAGTATTTATTTCCAATGAATTACCTTCCTCATGTCACACGGCTATTACGAGATGACAAAATGGGATTGCACAACTTTCGTCCATCCGCATAAGGTTTAGATTCTAGTCATAAAATAGGCTAACGTCTTGTTTAATTAAATTGTCAAGTGTTTTCCTATAATTATTAGTTTTAGAGGTTTGGTCTCTAGTACTCTTAATATGTTAGGAAATACTAGTTATGTCTTCTCTTTTTATTTTTCATGAGTATTTGAAATACGTATGTCGAGGTACCGTCCTTATTTTCAAAAAAGAAAAAAAATTGGAAAGATTTGAGTGACAAGTCGTCGACCGGGACTAAGAGGCCACGATCTATAGAGGAGTCAAAGGAGAAAGAGAGCAAGAGTACGAGAAGGAGAAGTGTGATTGACGGGATTGTTAAGATTGCGAAACTAATCCTCATCATTTTTGTGGTTTTGACTATCTCGGTGAGAGAGAAGGAGAGAGAGGCTTAGGGTTTACCTAGTGAGGAGGAGACGTTAAAGGACTCGAAAAATGGGTTTTGAGAGTTTCGAATGGGAGAGTTCACCTGGTTTCTTTTGTTGAAACATTTAAAATGAAATTTTTTAAAAAAAATTAAGGATCGGCTAGCAGTTGATCATTAAAAATAACGAAGATTAAACAATTTGAATCACATTTATTTAATTCCTAATATTTTAAAATTTAAATGACACAATTTGATATTTAAGTTCAAAATTATAAAATTTAAATACTTTGAAAAGTGAAAAATGTCATAATACCAACTCAAGAGATATAATAGTATCATAAGTTGAGTTTGCTTGCTCTCGCTCCACATCTTAAAGATATTTAGGCTATTATGCTCAAGAGAAATGGATAAGGGTTAGATTTTTTATTGGATTTATTTTATTTGAAAATTAGTTTTCAATTTTAATTTTAGAATTGCCTTCTTTACACTTTTTTTTAGATATAATCCTTTTTTTTTAATTTTTTGAGAAAACAATAACAATCACATAAACAACCTCATGATAAAAATGCATTTAGGAAGATTTATTTGAAATTCCTAAAAAAAATTAAGATTATTTTGGATTATTATTATTTTTTGTTTATATATATATATATAAGAAAAGGTCAAACTCAAAATTTAAAATTTTAAAATTGATTATTAAATGAATCAAAGTTTAAGAGAGATTATACCTGTTTAATCAATAAAAAAAAAGTAAAAAAGAAAAGAAAAGAAAAGAAAAGATAACTATTCAATTATAACTCAGTTTGTGGAACTAGATATCAAGCATCCACGTACGCTATAAAGGAACCACTTTTTTCTTAATAAATGAGGAGAATGCCTGTTGAATACGTAAGTGCGGTCAAGTTTTGTGTTTAACACACAAAAACAATAATATCTTCGACAAGCCAATAAGCAATGTCTCTCCTGTGTCCCGTTCATTGCAGACACGTTTAGTATCCACTTTCTCCAGTAAAGTAGTGAGCTGCTCTATTATTATAACCTAAAATGGTGACAAACTTCGTGTTAGAAATCTTACTTTGTCTGAGATATTACATTTGGAATAAATAAACATATAATAATATTAATAAATAAAATTGAATATAGTATGAGAGTTTTAAAAAAATTCATCAGAATCCTATAATCCAAACCACGTGATAGATTATAAAAAACAAAAAAAAAAGTTGTAAATTGAAAAAACAAGCACTTATTATAAAACTTAAATCTTAAAATTAATTCATATGACAGATTTTAACATATGAATTATAAATTAGAAAAGAACCATTCATTGTAAAACTTTAAATATTTCAAACAAAATTCAATCTCAATTATTAAATCTAATACCTATTGACTTATATTAATTTTATGATGCGTCCATGTTGAGGATAATAGTTCAGTTAATTCAGGAGCTCCACGAGGGGCATCAAAAGCGGATGACAATTTCACCCCTACTATGTGAACCATGATGTTTCCCGTTAAGGCACTCATAACCCATGAGGGCGGAGGCTGGCCCAACCATCATGCAACCCCACCCATCCGTGTGTGGCAGCGCAAACCAACGCTCAACTTATTACTACTAGCTAGTAAGTATCATCCTATTGAAGTTGCGAAGAGGTAAATAAAAGAAAACATCATCAACTATGCTAACAATGCAAAATCTATCCGGGCAGAATAGTCATTTAGGAAAGAAATGTGCTAATTCTCCAATAATAATAATAATATGATTTTTTATATCTCTCTGCAATTTTTTTTTTCAAGAAAGAAATTTCAAGTTTGAACACCAATCTTTATAAAATAAATAAAAACAATGAAAAATGCATGTTGCGCTACAGAGAAGTAGAAAATTAATTAAGTAGCCTATCTTTTTAATGATAATAGTAGTAATAATAATAATAATAACAATAACTAGTCTTTCTCTGGCTATTGACTAAACCGGCATATGGGTTGCGCCATTCAAGCGGTGTAAAACTACGGCAAGAAATGATTATGGGCAACAGTCGTCAAAGCAAGCAATAATTTTTTGGAAAATAGAAAACAGAAACTAAAAATAATAGAGCAGAAAAGAAGAGTAGTAAAACAAAAGAGAATTGATGAGGGGAGGGTGAGGGTGAGGTGTGGGGGGTGGTGATGATGGTCCGAACCAATCTAAACCATCATTGCGAATCTTGGGACGGCCTAGCCCACCAGGCCACCATCATTTTACAAGCCCTAGGGCCAAAATCCCATTATTGTCCCTTTGATGCCAATAATGCCCATTTTGCGACCATCATCATTCACATTACCTCATACCCTTCATCATCATCATCATCAATTTAACACCTACTATAAGACCTTTTTTCAAATAAATTTTGCCCTTAACCGGCCGCCTTCTTTGCTTACACATGCATGATTGTTGTGTCAGAAGAGAGAGGCATGTCTGATGTCTCCTCCCTCCCTCTAACAAGAAACAACACAACTAACCCATATCCATGTCTATGCCGTTCATCTCTCTCTCTCTCTCTCGTCAATTTTCAAGTCTTAAGTCTTAACCCTTTTGCCCTATAAATTAACAGCCTCTCGCTTCATTTTGTCCCTCACCCAATTAGTTTCTGTTTTTTAACGTTACTACTGCGGCTATCTACAAACCATATAGTAGCTGCTGCTTCCTCCCCCAAAGCTCTGTAACCAACAACCTTGAAAAGGTGATCTTTTTTTAAAAGATAAAAAGAGTAGAATAGAGGCCCACACCTCTCTCTCACCCCCTCCCCAGTGTCTCGTGCTTTTAAGTTTCTTGTTGCCTTCATATGCTAAGTACATGGGGGGTACTACACAAAGTCTGCTTGTGAATTTTGGTTTCATAGCGCTTCCTTCTCTGTCAAACAACAGACTTTGAGCGTACACAACAACATGTTGCCATTTCTTTCCTTTCTTGAGTTTTTGTCTGTCTACTTCACCTCTCTCTAGGAGGGAATCAATGTCCGTCGTAAATATTTTCTCCTTGGATTCTCCAGCTAGCACTTGTGTTTCCCCTAGCTTTTCTTTGTCTCTGTCCCAGTCCAAAGTCCAAACCTGAGGTTTTTCTTTTCTTCCTCTTCTTTTTTTTTTTTTTTATTAGGCTTTAATAACTTTCGGTACATTCTTTACACTACTAACATACACAGAGGGGTATATAATGTGCGGTATATAAATGTTAATCTTGTAATGTAGATACAGACAACTTCACTCTAATGTTGTCAGTATTGTTCATAACCTTTATGCTTTTCTTTCATGTTCGGGCAACTCTTATTCCATCTCCATAGCTCAATCCCTTCTATATATATTTCTCAAGGTGGTGGTCCAGACATGCTAATTGATTGTCCTCACTTGCTCTGATTTTCCTATAGGTCATAAGTACTCTAGAAGTGGCAAGCCCAGCTAGACATCTGTTACTCCCTACTTTTCCTCTGTACTTGTACATCTATATTTACCGTTCTATCATTTTTGTTGCTTTTTGATTTTATTTAATTTAATACGCAAAACTATTTTTCATTTATGATAAATATGGTTTTGGTTTCAGGGGCAATATATTTTCAAAAGCATTTGCACAATCATGGAAAGACTGAACTCCAAGCTGTACCTGCAGAACTGCTACATAATGAAAGAAAATGAGAGGCTGAGGAAGAAAGCACAGCTTCTAAACCAGGAGAATCAAGCACTGCTGTCTGAGCTGAAACAAAAACTCTCCAAGCCTAACTCAAAAGGCAATGCTCCAAACGATACTATACCTGACCTCAACCTGAGCTCAAGTTCTAACCCAAATCCTGCCAATTCCGGCACTAACTGATCCAGCTGAATAGAAATGATGACCCCCGCTAAGACTTGCCTTGCCTTTTTTGTGTAAAACCATAGTCCCAGCATTAGTAGTCGTTCCTGTTTAAGTTATATATATTATATAATATAGGACAGCAGTAATGTAATCTCTCTTCTCTAGCAGTGTTGCTTTTTTGTTTCTACTTTCCTTGTCTATCATATATTTCTGAACTAGAATTAAGGATGTATCAGGCAATGTGCTAGAAAGGAATATAATATAATTGTAGTTTTATACTTTAGATTAATTAATTCTCTCTCTCTCTCTCTCTCGCGAGTACTGATCGAATTTTGTAATTAGCCATCACATTTAGATTTTAAAAATGAAAAAAAGAAAAGAAAAGAACAATCGAGTCCTAATTCAGAATGACTCGAAGTTTGACTAACACTGTGCTTTACTCGAAGTAGATTTTTGTCCCAAGAATCATAGTGGGTTATGACTTGATTTCAATATTTCCATATATATATATATATATATATATCAATTTGAAAAAAACTAAGTTATAAGAAAACTTAAAAATATTAATACTAAGTTTGTGAAATAAAGAGTAGTACTAATTAATTTTCTGTTCAAAACTAATGATCTAATCTATCTAACTTGACCATATGAACTTGTGGGTATTTGTGTCATCCATCGAAAATCAATTTGGAGAGACAGAAATTGGAAAACGCTCACGCGGTGTTAAAGAGGAAACATCCATTTTTCTTGTGAGATAAAATACCACTGCAGCAAAATTGAACAGTTGAAGTGATGAGTTATGCAGGCAATGGAGTACAGACAAGAACCTACGCCTACAATTTACCAGATTCGTATAGATTCTGTATGATGGGAGGATCTAATCAAAGGTAACGTCATCAAGGATTCATAGACCAATCTCAAACCGAGGGCTTATCAAGTTGAAGAAAAGCCCAAACTTAAGTCCTCAGCACACCTCATTGCACTGCATGTGTTTTTTGTCTCCTGCCTTGTACTAAATAAATAATGGGACATGTGTCATTTGATTTCGTTTGTCCGTATTGTTTCTGTTAAATGGATCAATTTTTTTTTTTTTAATTTTAATTCATTTAAGAATTGATCGGATTGAACTCTCTACAAACAATTTGATCCCATCCAACCATTTAGTTCCAATTTTTGGTTACTTTAAATCTTCCATCCAATGATTGACTGTTTGACATTAATTGACCACATCAAGGGCTAGATAAGCTCCACATGTATGGCTTAAAATAAAATGAACATTTTAATTGTAAATTAAATTACATAAAAAAATCAAAATGGAGTTTGAAATATTTAGTAGAACGGGTTTGAAGTAACCAAAATGGATAGAAGGTTTGAAGTCATTAACCAAAAATGGGAAGTGAAGGTTTTATTTGACCAGATTGTTTGTAGATGGTTTAATTCGACTAAATTCCAACAGCAGATAGACAATTGGTGATTTTTAGCTGATATACAGAATCCTACAAAATCTAATATAAATATCCAATTTCAAACGGAATCTGTAATGACTTAAAATTTATAAGAGATTTGACCCATCAAATCTATTTTTTATCACCTTAATTAATACATGTAAGATAAAAAAAAAAAAAAAAGTTTTATTTATTTTTAGTTTAGATTAAAGAATTTCAACCCATCATTTTCTTTCACTTCTCTAAAATGAAAAGTCCATGATCAATTTCAAGCTGCAATCCAAACTCAAAAAATAATAATCCAAATCAAGCTTGACTTTCTCTGAATCCACTGGGATCTGATATTTGGTTTGAAATAGGCTTAAATGTTTTTGGATGTTTGTATTGCTTGCAGAAAATCCAACTCGTGAGGAAAGATTTGAAGAAAAGACAGAAGGATTGCTTCACGACCTTTCTTTCTTCGTTTGACTGAGTAGCTGGAGGGGACCAATCTCACCAATGGGGAGAAGACCAGCTTTAATCCAAGAAACGGAACAAGATTGAAAGAAGTTGTTGATCGCTTATAATTAAATTTAAAAAGTTAGTAATCAATCAATTTAGTGTCTTAATATTATTGAAATAAATCAATGATATGTATATATATATATATATATATACACACGCACGCAGGCACAGAGAGGAAGGAGTAATAAGTAACTCTAAAAATCCGAGCTTTGCTTTTGTAAAGTTGTTGAACTCTTCATGATGATCCATACTAATGAGGTCTGGAAGCCTCTTAAGGATGATGCCGTACTTTGCACGGTTGAGCAGAGATATTTGTTGTCTCGGGCTGGTGGCTGTGACTGTAATTACTCGATTAGCTGATGCATCCGTAAAACAATTTTTTTTTTTTTTTTATTGGATGGAAATATCCCCGTGATTAAACTAAATTAGTGAATGGAGGAAAGGTATAGGCTTCGGGAAGGAACAACGCAAATATCGAATCTTTAACCTTATGTCTCACATCTATTTATAATGTCACTTGATTTATCAAGTTGAATTTAAAAAAAAAAAGATTAGACCCGTTGATTTTTTTGTCGTCAACAATCTTTTTAAACTTATTAAAAAATAAATGCATTATTTATTTTTTTGATATATGAAAGATAAATCAAATATTTTAGACCATGATCGAATGATTTCTATACAAGGTGTATTCTTTTATATATATATAATTATGTAGGTTTGGAACTAAATTAAAATTTCCCTAAAAATTAACTGACATTAACATTTTATTTTTTATTTTATTTTGTCTAATTTACATATTTACACCTTACAACAACATCAATTTAAGGAAAATTCGATTAAAAAATAAATTAATAAATGTTTACAGAAAGACCCGATTAAGAATTTTTTGAAATATTTAGAACTTAATATATAAAATTTTGTAGATTTAAAACTCAAGCGAGAATAATAAATATATAAATTTGAGATTAAACTAAGATTTGCTCTAATTTTAACCTATCGTTGCATGTGATGGTTGACCATGAAACGGCACAGTATCTGGAAGGATCTTTATGAGATGACGTGATGTCTTGTCCAACTCAAATGCAAATCCATCACACCCAATTGAGACCCTGCTGCCCTTATAGTCCTAAGTCGAAGACGCCTCCTAGGCTCTGACCCACAGGAGCCGTTGACAGCATTGACTTCAAATCCAGCCATCACAAATATGCCTCGTTTCTGTCAAACGGAGGCTCGAGGAAAAACTTTTCCTTTATGCAATGCTTCCTTAACATTGGCGATTGTCTCCTCCAATGTAATTTCAAAAATATTTAAAAAAAAAACCCAAAAAAGAGAGAGGACTCCTTCGCTAGATTTAATTAAGAGTCTCTTTGTTTGACCAAAAAAAAAAAACTATTTTTATAGAAAAATTATTTTTAAAAAATTTATTTTTAAAAAAATATTTTGATGTTTGATAATTATATGAAAAAATTGTTAAAAAATATATTTCAACGTTTGTTTGATATAGAAAATTAAAACACAAAAACATATTGTGATTGTTACATCAACGAGTTTTAAGAAAACTTTAACAAGACATATTCATAATTTCACAATATAAGATGTATTTAAAAAATTAATAAATTTTTATAAATATTAACTCTTAAGATTTAAATTCAAAAAATAAAATATATATTTTTAACCATCAAACTAATTCATCAAAATTGCCCGAAATAAAATCAAGTCAATATTCACATTTAGTAAAAAAAATTAAAAATTGAATTGATAATTTATTCTAAAAAATAATTTTACAAATTATTAGTTATTATTTATAGATAATTATTCATTTGGTTTCAAAAAATTAATATTGGAATAATTTGTAACTAATTGCTGACTAAAATTACTAACAAAATTTTACAACTTATTAAAATTAATCACAAATTATTGATTTGGTTGCAAATGAATAATGTTGGAAAAATAATATATTTATTAATGAATTAATTATTTTTAAATTTTTCACAAATGATTGCGATCTTGTAATAATCATTTTCAATCATTTAAGTATAGCTAGGTGGTGTTTGGAATAATGGTAAAAAAATAGAGACAAATTATTGAAATATTTATTATAAAAATAACTTTAAGGTGTAAAAATGATTTTTAAAAATATTATTTATAAATCGAAAAATCAAATGTTAGTATAAATAGAGAAAAAATAATTAAATAATTAATAATAATTGATAAAAAATAATTAAAAATTAATTTGATATATTTTAAATAGAAATGAGATAAAGAGAGCGAGATAGCTCGTGAAAGAGAAATGTGAGTAATGCGAGAGCGAGATAGCTCGTGAAAGAGAGAGAAAATGTTTTTCATTTTTTTAACTCGGAAAACACCTTTTTAAAAATGTTTTATCATTTTTCTTTAACTGAAAATAATTTTTCATTGACTTTTTTCTTAAATGTTAAACAACTATGAAAAATTGAGAAAAATAAGTTCCTAGAATTTATTTCTTATTTTCTTCCAAACAAACACAACCTAAAGAACCAAAAACAAACTCCAACTGTATTGAATATATTGTAAAAATCTTCTAAACGTCATTGAAATCGAAACTTTTTAAATTGACAAGAGATCATCAATAAGGCATTAAGGATTGCATTAAGGATTGGGTTCAACTTCTTGAGTTAAGATGATTAGATCTATCTCACATGCAATACCAAACACAAGAAGCAAATAAGTGACGCAACTCTAATCTTTCACATGTCTATGAACGTAAGTACAAATAAAATCCAGTACTCATCATAAATTATAGAGTCCATTGAAACCAGATCTTAAAACACTGAGTATATGGAGAATGAAGCATTTAGGATTACGTGCTAGTTAATCAGTTTTTTTTTTTTTTTTTTTTGAAAAAAAAAAAAAGGAGGGCAAGTTAAAACCCAAAACAAGCAAGAGGTCTCGTTTTTATTCATAAATCCATGTATAATAATGCTAAGAAAAGACAAAAAATGATAGAAATACACCGATGGATCGCAGAATATATATATATATATATATATATATAACAACAGTTCATAACATAAGGAATTTGGAATTGGA